CTTAACAATTCACCCCACCCCAGCCTAGCTAGGATACAGCCACAAAAAGTAAGAGGTAGATGGCATGGTGTTGAACGATGAAAACAAATGAATAAGACACAAAGAACTCAGCAAACACTGAGAGCTGTGGCCTACCAGAAAAGATACTGTGCCCAGGTGGGAACAGCATGAGGACTCCAGAAGGAGAAAAAAAAGGGTCCCTTCAACAGTGGAAGACTTGCCCTGACTACACGACTTCTTCATATGTACACTTCACTACTGGTATACTCTAAACTTCTATTCACACTTTTGACTGACACTGTTTATTCATTGGGAAAGTGTTCCCTAGGTGTATGAGGGACATGCTTTGTAGCTGCTTTTCTTATAATGCCATTTTAGTAAATGCCTTTGCTTTAAGATGAGCATGTCTACTGTCTGACTCTAAAAGTTAAGCTCACTTGTAGGGACTTATGACCTATAACTTTTCAAGTAATCTTAATCTACAGAGAACTTTGAAACCTTAGAATAATCACCCAATCTGCAAACCTGTGCAGATTGAGCTGGGGAGAAGGCTTCAGAAAAGGTAGTACATAAGTGTGGGCTATTAATAATTGTCATCATTATCATCTATAGGACTAAGCTTCACGAGAGGTTGTTGTTGTTGTGGGTGTTATTGTTGAGTCATTTCTGACTCTTCATGACCCCATTTGGGGTTTTCTTGGCAGAGATGCTGGAGTGGTTTACCATTTCCTTCTCCAGATCATGTTACAGATGAGGAAACTGAGGCAAACAGGGTTAAGTGACTTCCCCAGGATGACGTAGCTAGTAAGTGTCTGAGACACGAACTCATAAAGATGTCTGTCTGATTCTAGGCCCAGTACTCTATAATTGTGCCATCTACTTACCCCAACATGAGAGTAACGATCATTTATTATGTAAGCATTGTATCTCCTCCATCTCCTAGCAAAGTTTTTTGAACATGTTGAATACTTAATAAACATTCTTTAAATTTCATTTAATCTATCACTTTTTGGATGGAACTATCAACCAATAGACATGTATTAAGTACCTACTAAGTTCTAGGCATTATGCTAAGTGTTGGAGATACAAAAAAAGAGACAAAAGACAGTCCCTGCCCTCAAGAATCTCAAAATGAGATGGAGGATACAGCAAACCAATAAATATATATATACAAACAGGCTATACACAGGATACATGGGAAAGCACTAGAATTAAGAGGGGTTGGGAAAGACTTCCTGTAGAAGATGGGATTTTAGCTGGACCTTAAAGGAAGCCAGGGAAAGCAGCAGGTATAGATGAGGAGAGAGACTATTCTAGGCATTGGGGACAGCCAGAGAAAATGCCCAGAGCCAAAAGATGGAGTGTCTTGTTTGGGGAACAGCAAAAAAGCCAGCATCATTGGATTGAAGAAGAAGATGAGATTTACCAGGAACTAGGGAAAAGAAAATCTGGATTTTTCTTGTTTTGATCTTTTAATCATAACTAAAGAGATAAAATCGTTGATCTGTAGGGGAAGGAAGGGAGCAAAGCAGCTACTGTTGCCACTAGACCAAATGAGATTAGTAGCCTCTCTACTGATCTGAGTCTGACCATGGATAGCATATAAAACCAAGGAGAGCCAAAGCCTCTGGTTGGGTATTTATACTGGTCTATTTTGGTGTGTTTTTCCAACTATTAACAGAAGGAAGAATAAGATCACCAAGAAACACCAATTTGTGACTAGGGCAGGGTGGTTGGTGTTCTCAGGAAAGTCTTGCATGTGGGATTTTGTGTCCTATGTTAAAACAAGCTGGTGGTAATGTATGTATTGGGAAGAGGGCAAATGAAAACAGATTCCCCATGATTAAGGGGAATCTCTTGAGTACCTCACGAATGGAAAAAAAAGGGGGGGGGCCTTCAAGCAATCAAGAGCTGTGAATTATCCCTTTGGCATGTGTCCTCTCTAGCTTGAGATCAATTTCCCCTGGACTCTGTACATACTTTTAAGAGAATGTGTCACAGGCTTTTGTAGGAGTATTTTATAGCAATTATTCCTATTTTGCCAACTTAGTATTCATTTCTAAAAGCTAGTTAAAGCTGGCTGACTAAATTGATTCTCAACTAATAATCTGGGGAGAAATTACACTGGTGTGGACTTGAACCAATGGCACCAGAAAGCCATTGTTTTGCCCCTCAAGGGTATCCCTACAACTTCAAAGGAGAAATGTAGCCAGTCTAGCTCTGGGAACACAACTTGATGATTGCTGAGCATATAGAAAAGGAAATGATTATCACAAAGAGCCAGCTTGGTTTAATCAAGAATGGGTCATGCCAGACTAACCTTACTTACTTTTTTTGATACAGTTACTAAGCTGATTCCTCAAGGGACTGTTGCAAGATATCACTTACCGAGATTTTATTAAAAGATTTGATAAAGTATCTAATACTTATTCTTATAGAAAAAAATGAAGAAAAATACTGATGATAATACAATTAAATGGATTTTAAACTAATTGAATTTGTTGGAATTGAAAGTTAGTGATGCAATGACAATTTGTCAAGAGTGCTCCTCCAGTGGACTGCCCCAGGGATCTGTACTTGGCTCTCTACAGTTTAATATTTTTTTAGTGACTTGGATAAAGGCATAATGATGTGCCTCTTTAAGGCACTTTTTAGATGCACTTTTAAGGCACCTCTTCAAGATGACACAAAACTTAAAAGGACATTGGATGGAAGAATTCAGATCCAAAAGGATCTTGACAAGCTAAAGAATTGGGCTGAATCTAATAAGATAAAACTCAATAGGAATAAATGTAAATTCTTATACTTGGGTTCAAGAAATCAACTTTACAAGTACAAGATGGGAGAATAATGGTTAGACACTTTTTGCCAAAAAAAAAAAACCCTGAGAATTTTTAGTAGTCTGCAAACTCTATACAGGTCAACAACATGTTATGGCATTTAAAAAAAATGCAATCTTAAACTACATTAAGAGAGTTATAACTTTCTAGAAATAAGAATCTACATTCTCTCCAGATCAGAACATACCTGGAGTATTGTGTTCAGTTTGGGGTATGACAGTTTAGAAAGGATATTGATTAGCTGCAGAGTGTGCTGAAAAAGGCAACTTAAGATGGTAAAAGGCATTAAGTCCATTTATGATCAACTGAAGGACTACGGGATATTTAACCTGAAAAGAGAAGATCTGGGGGAGGAGGGGAAGGATAACTCTGTTTAAGTATTTGAAAGATTATAACAGGGAAGAGACTTGTTCCATTTGTCCACAAAGAGTAGAATTAGAAGCAGTGGCTCGTTATTTCAAAGAGGAAAAAAATGTTAAAACTTTCTAGCAATTGGGGCTATTCCAAAATGGAATTGGCTATGTCAGGAGGTAGTAAGTTCCTCTTCATATGGAGACCTTTAAGCAGTTAGAGGATGACCACATATCAGGCTAATAATAGTAGGGATTCCCTTTGGGCAATAGACTTGATGGCCACTGAATTCTTTTCCAACTCTAAAACTGTGTGACTGTATTTCTGCTCCCATCTTCCGATATTCCAAATCAGAATGTAATAAATGTCAGATTACTTAGCTAATGAATTACAATCAATAAATATGTCACAATAGATATGCGATTTGGTCATCATGTAGAACTCCCTGTCTGGCAATACCCTTTGCTGAGAACAGATGGTGATGATCTATGACTTATTAGATAAATTGTAGGGAGGTGCCTAGGGAACACAGAGACTAAATGACTTGCCTGTGCTCACATACCTGGTCATTGTAAGAAGTGGAATTTGAACCCAGGTTTTCCTGACTCCCAATCAAGCACTCTATCCATCATTCAACAGTGTCTATAAATTCATACATACACATATATGATTTGAATTTATTTGAAAATAAACAAACAGCATGAAATTCATCTGTCATAAATATAGGCAATACTAAATGTATTTTTTCTAAAAATGATATATTTCACTAGAGAGATACTTAAAGTTTTCCATTTCACGCCAAGGTGAGTTTAATACCTCTGTAATCTACAGCATATGGATCTTGTGACATTATACAGCATTTGCATCCCAATGAAACAGCTCATTAATCAAATGCTCCATTGTAACCTCAAATCATAGGAAACCACAAAATATGCTAGAGAAGTAAAGTTATTTGAGCTTGGAATGGTTCCTTTTAAAACAATATTTGTTGGTTAATTTTAAACAGTGGTCACAAGTACAAAAGACATTAGTCTATTAAGATATAGCTCAGGGCCAAAGCAGAGCCATCAAAGAGACATAATGTAGAATACATTATTTTTTTTCCCTGAATTTTGGTTACCATTCCCTTCAATTGGCTTTAGTTGTTGTCTTCGAACAAGGCCAAAACAAGATCTTTTGGTAAAAGAGCATCTAGTTGTTCTTAATTAGCAAATTTCATCAGAGTGAACAAAATCCCTTCCACAGTAATGAAAGAACTATGTATGTGATTGTTGAGCCACTGCTGGTGACCTGTGAAACATCATGCAAAACAGCTGAGAGGCTGAAGAACTAGAGATGGGCAAAAAAAATTGTCCCAATTTTCAAAAAAAGGAAGACCGTAGAGTTTTCAAACCACAAAGAGTGAGCTTGCTTTTTAGTTCTTGCAAAATTCTAAAATATGTTATTTTCTAAAATTCTGAACATAAATACCAAATAAAATGATTATTTCCATATATAAAGTAGAATAGAGAAAGAAGATTATACACGTGTAACAGTCCTCAAAAGACTCAGACCCCATTTCTTCCCAGCTGAAAAAGCTAGAAATGAAACCAAGCTCAAGAACAAAACTCCAAATGTACTAGGAGAAAAACTGACCTTTCAGTACTGATCTCAAGTTGGCTTCCTCTCTTCCCAAGATAGAAAGAAATACCAATTTCAGTGTCTTTTCAATGGTTATTATACTTGAAACCATGAATCCTTCAAGTACAGCTTACTTTTCTTTGTAAGTATATTGCGAGGTCCTAGCCTCGCGGGCTGCCTGCTTCTTACCTTTCCCGGTCTTCGGACGTCTCCGGCCCTAACCCCCTTGGATTAGGGAATTCCTTAGGATAGGGAATACGATCAACAGAGCACCCGGACAGCGGAATTGGTTGCTCAGGTAATTATTGCTAACAACTACATTCTTAAAGTAGGCACTTTTTCCTCGCCACGGAGGTGAGCTAAGCTAAGGCTGAATAAGGGACTGCCCCCTGCTTCCGGCTCCTGTGTTTATATCCCCTTCTAGGGTCCTCCTACTGCGTGGGCGGGTTCACTGGGGAGCCGAACCCGTTGGATGATGCTGTCTCGATACCTTGGCCCCAGCCTTAGCCCACGTGGCAGTAACTGGTCCTGGCCTCGTGGGCAGAGACAACATCTGGGTGTCTCACCCTGGTAACCTACTCCACCCCCAGGACCCAACAGTATATGACAATCTCAACATGAAACTTTCAAAGCTATACTACTTAGGTGTGTTTCCTTCTGACTTTCCTTCTGTTCTTTTCTTTGTATTGTGAAAAATACTGCTTTTATGTCCTTTTCTTTCTTTCCTTATTTTTAACAACTTATTGCTAACCTCTCCTCTCCGTGCCACCCTTCTCCAAATTAAAAAGACCAAGAAAAATAAAGCTCATGTAATAAATATGCATAGTCTAGAAAAACAAAACCCTATATTAACTATGTCCACAAATGTATGCCTCATTCTGCACCTGGAGTCCATCACTTCTCTATCATGAGGCAGTTCAGGTGCTTTATCAGTAGTCCTCTGGAGTCATGGTTAGTTATTGCATTGGTCAGAGTTCTTAAGTCTTTCAAAGTTGCTTTTCTTCATGAGGTTGTAGTCATCGTGCTAATTGTTTTCTGGCTTACACTCATTTCAATCTGTATCAGTTCATATGAGTCTTCACGAGTTTCTTTGAAGAAATCAGAAAATTAAAAAAAAATTGTCCCTTTTTTCATTCCTTATGGTGCAATCATGTCCCATTACATGACATACCATAGTTTTTTCATCAGTTTCCCAATTGATGGGCACCCCTTTAGAGTTAGGAATAATTTGTGAACCACTTAAGAAAACTGACCACCTCTAGCCATCATGGATTCATCAAAGCAGCTTTTGCCAGACAAGATTCATTTTCTTTTTTCACAAGGCTAACTGTTCAGAAGAATGCTACAGATAGCATTTACCTTGAGTTCAGCAACGCAATGAACAAAACATCACATAATCTCTTGCTGGACAAGATGAAAAAGTGTAAACTGAATGACAAAGTACTCAGTGGATTTGGAGCTGATTGAATTATCGGACACAAAGAATAGTGATTAAAGGATTGATGTCAACCAGGAGGGAAATTTCTCATGAGTGTAACAGAATTTTGTCATTTTATTGATGACTTGTATAAAGTTACAAATATCATACTTATCAAATAATGCAGATATCTTGAAGCTTAGAGAAATAACTCATATTGGCTGTCAGAATCAAGATCCAAAAAACATCTGAAAAGACCACAACACTAAGACAAATCTAATAGTATGGAATTTAATTTTTTAAAATGTAAAGTGTTATACTTGGGTCAAAAAAAAAAAAAGCTGCATGAGTATAGGATGGAGGAAACTTAGCTAAACAACAATTTCTCTGAACAATACCTAGAGAAAGTAGAAAACAAATATTTGATATGACTTAATTGTATCACATGACAACCAAAAAAGCTAATACATCTTAGGTTGCATTGGTAGAAACATAATACTCACCACAAGGGAATTCATAATCTTACACTAAAATTCCCTTGGTAAGACCACATCTGGGTTATTCTTATTCATTCCAACTGGCCTATGTTGACAATCTGAATTAGCTTATCCATAGGATGGAAACCACAAATGCTGGTTTTGTTGTTGTTGTTTGTCCTTCATTCTTAAAGAGGACCAATCACATTAGGAGGGTGATGTCTTGACTTGCAAATGAATTGTATTTAAGTGAGGCAAGGCTATGCAAAGTCACCTGCCTCACTCTCTCCTCCAGAGTCGTTGGAGTCCAGTGGCAACACACAAGTCAGGATGACTGGCGATGGCCTCAGATGCAGTGGGAGACCTTGGCCTTTTTAAACTGAGGTCTTTCCCAGGTCTCAGTTTGTCTGAGGCAACACCCATTTGGAAATTAAAGGCTAGGTAAGAATTGAGGCAAAAGATCAGCAACTATAATACCAGAGGCTCGAAACCAGCTGATACAAATATCACTTGAAAGAATCGAGGTTATTTCACCTTGAAAAGGGGGTAGAACCTATGGAGGGATAGGAGTTATCTTCAAGTACCTAAAGAGCTAACACATGAAAGAGATTACACTTGTCTTGCTTGGCCCCAGAGGGCAGAATTAGAAGCAGTGGGTAGAAATTTCAAAGAGACAGATTTCGCTCAATAAAAGGAGGAAAACATCTTTTAATAATTAGAACTAGTTTGAACTAAAATGGACTGCTTCCATAAATAGTGTGTTTTCTCTCTAGCATCCATTAAAAATAGGAATTGGCCTCTTGTGGAAGATAATGTAGAAGGGGGACTTCTAATCAGGTAACAACAGTACATATGTGCATAAATCACTTCATAAATCACCTTTCTGTACTATAGCCATGTGATATAGCTTTTACTTACACTATTCCCATTATACAGATGAAGAAACTGAGACTTGAGAGAGTAAAGGATTTATCTATTGTTATAAGCCAGTAAATGGTAAAGCTGAGGCTAAAACACACATCTCCTAACTGAAAAATCCAGCATTTTCCAACCACTATACCATGCTGTCTGCCTAGAATGAACTGCACACTAGATTCTTTCTAAGGCCCCTCATAACTTTAAGTGTCTGAGATATGTAGATAAATTAGTATCTACTCAATTGTTGGAGGGTTCATGAAAAGAAATAAATTAGAATTTTACCCTCACATCAACTCTCACAAAGCCTAATCAAGCATTCAGCCTATCATAAGCCCCATTCAATTTCTAGCAACAGATCAATCAGTCGAACTTATTAAGTGCCTACTATGTGCCACCGGGGATATAAATACAAAAAATGAAACAGTACCTTCCATAACAAATTTACATTCTATCAGGAGAGAGATTGAGAAAACATGTGGACAGATATAGTTGGGAAGTTTTGTATATACAAATATTTCTGTTTGATTAAGTATGTATATACAAAGTGTATACACATCTGTTTGTGTTTACACATTACATTTTCAAGTATTTATCTGAATTATTCCTCACATCTAAGTTTGCAAAGCATCTAGTTACTCTCTAGTTGTAAAGTATCATCACATACACACATACATACACACACACACCCCTATATACATATACATATATACAGATACATATATACAGATAGATAGATAGATGATAGATAGATAGATAGATAGATAGATAGATAGATAGATAGATAGATAGATAGATAGATAGATAGATAGATATACACATATATGTGTGTGGAAAGAATCCCCTATTAAAGTTTACAACTTAAAGCCACTCCTAGGACAATTTTTTTACTTGCCTCACCCCCTCCCATTAGGGAGACCAAGGGCCCAACCAGGAGCATCTGGTCATACATTTCTTTCAGCAAAAGGCTAGAGCATGAGTTGCCAGAAGCAGCTGGAACAGAGGCTCAGCGCCATGAGAAGTGTTCCAATCAGAATACCAGAAGTGGCCAGGGATCAGCACCATCTCCATGCATGGCGGAATCCAATCCAACCCTATGGAAATACTTGTAAGAAGGGAATGACAATATCCATACAACCAAACACTCAGGTTGTGGCAAAGAATATGTTTTGCTTATAGCACTATATGGATATGAACTAGTCTACCTGAGGAGGGTGAGAAAAGCTTCAAAAGTTTGAAAAATCTCTTCTGTACTTTGGTGCCATTGATACTTCATGTTTCTCAGCCGTTCGCTGCATTGTTTACATGTACAAACTATCCCTAAGCCCCAGGGGATCTCCACAAATTTGAAATATGTATTTTTCCCTTGCCCCTTAGTATCAGATGTCTAACCCTCAGCACAATTGTTTTCCTGAATTTTTCATGTTGACAGATATTTTCAACTTTCCGAGTAAAGGCATCTTTAGGGTGAAGTCACAAGGGGTCCAAATCAGACAGGCATCTCTGCACATCTGTAACCCTCTTGCCAGATGTTAGTGGCAAGAAAAGTCAAGTTCTCTCTCAGGGGAAAATCCTTCTACTAGAACTCACAATAAACTGGCGCTATTGTTGCCAACATGCAAGCAAACAGGCAGATCAGGATGTACCCAAAGGGAATTAAACTTTTAAGTTAGCATATAACTTTAAAATGTGTGCACGCGCGCACGCACACACACCCACCCACACACAGAGGAAGTCATAGAAACAGGAAATTGTCACGTTATTCCATAAGCATCCTCCAAACTTTTTTCTAGTTCCCAGATGATGATTCAGTTTGCACAAGCACTCTCATTTTATTCCTTAACCTCCTCCCAAGTATCTTGTCCTTTCCTCGTAGTGACTGTACTATCCCTGTATTGTGGGAAACACTGCAGGTTCACAGGGATCGAGACTCCTACTATTTCCTAGTCCAGGGAAAGTGTGAGACTATGCCACACCTTTCTACATATTGCAAGCAGGTCTCTCCAAATACAACAAGTTACTTCAGCTCCCTTAGATTTAGGGGCCATGTTAGGAAGCATCCCCCCTGGAGTTTTCCTCACCTCTACACAGATCATCATCAATCTCCTGTTGATAAGTTGAGCCTCCTATTAGCACCAGATGTGTCAGAGAATTCTCTACACTTAGTGCCTCTATCTCTTCACTACTCATTCTCTCTGTTCACAACATCTAAATTCTTCTGCCACCCCACTCTAACAATACCACTCTTTACCGGGTCACGAGTGTGACCGACTTATTACCAAATCCGACAACCTGTTTCTAGTCTTCAATTTTCTAAACCTACATGCAAGATTTGACATTATTGGTTGTGTCTTCCTTCTTGGCACCTTCTTCATCCTTGGATAACAGGAAATTTTATATTCATTTCATCCTACATTCCACCTCTCTGATCTATTCTTTTCATTCTCCTTCACTGACTTTTTCCTTATCTTAACCTCATAAATATGAGCTTTGAGCTAGATTCAATCTATGGTCCTCATCTCTATTGTCTCTATAGTCCTTTGGTGATCTTAACTACATATCTACATACTTACATCTACACTACTATCCACATGGCTCCCAAAGTCCTATTTTTCACCTCAGCCTTTTTCCCAAGCTCCCATTTCCACATTTGCAACTGCCCGTTTTTCATCTCCACCTGGAT